GAATGGGCCCTTTATTCCCATTTCTACATATCCAGTAATAGGCATCTAGAATAGGGAAGTGATAATGCAATTTGCTGTAGCTTGGTACTAGGCCCAACCAGCTGTGCTAATAACTGGGTGTATGCCTTTGAATCAGACTTTTTATTTGTATTCCGAGCCACAGTTTTATTATCTGTAAAATGAGTGACTTGATCTAGGCTTTAATTCCACGGGCGTGGAGACCATGTTTACCTTGTGTATAGTACCCAGTATGCAGACTGATATGTGACACAAACTAAATGTTTGCCAAAAGAATAACTGCAGAAATAAACAAATTATGATGGTTTTAATAATCTCTTTGGTTCTAACAGTCTTTGATTCAGTGACTCCTATGCCACTGTTCAGTGCTCAGATCAGACCCCAAGGTTGTCTCTGGATAATGAGGTTGACATTGTTAAACTCTCTCTGCTTCATTTTATTTGTGACATAAAAAGTATACTGCTTCTGACAAGCGACTTCACTGGCAATCGGGTTTGTTTTGTGTGTTTTTTCCCCAAATAACTACAGGTACTACCAAGGTGCAGTGGGCCATGTTTTGGTGTTAAGAGTTTGGACAAGATGCTCAGCCAGCGGGTCTCAGTGGTTGAACATCGACCTATGAACCAGGAAATCACGGTTTGACTTAGGTCAAGGGCACATGCCCCGGGTGCAGGCTCGATCCCCAGTGTGGGGCGTGTAGGAGGCAGCCAATCAATGATTCTCATCATTGATGTTTCTCTTCCTCTCTCTCTGAAATGAATTTTTTTTAAAAAAGTTTGGACAAGAGTTCTGGTGCTCACAATAAGATTTTTGAGTATTCATACAACTCCTGAAATAGTAGCAAAATTGTGTGTGTTTGAGACTATGTACTTCTATCTGGGGAGTGAGACTGTAGCAGTCATCAGATCCTCAGTTTGAAAAGGGATCAAGGATCACAGAAAACGTGAGGTCATGTATAAGAATGGGCCCAGGCCTGTGTGCAGAAAGGAGCACCGCCGCACAGCCTCTGGGACTCGGGCGGGCTTTCGCCGCAGGAGGTGCACGGAAGGGCCTGCGGCGGCCTCGCTTTTACCTGGCGCGCCCCTGCAACTCCACTCCTCCCGGGCTCGCCCCCTCGGCCTCCGAGTCGTGGGCATCTTCGTCCACTTCTTCTTCATCCGCCGCGTCGCCGTCGTCGTCAAACGCGAAGCTCTGGCGGCAGAGGGGAGACAAGAGCGAGCGGGTGGAATTGCTGCAGCTCAGCCGCGGGGATGGCGAGCGCACCGCCACCGCCACCGCCTCCAGCCCCGGCCCGCGGGCGCCCGC